TTTACCAATAATAATAAACCAAATAATTTCGTCCATATATTCCTCCAAACCACAACTTAACCATTTCTGCTTTCAGAAATATACAATTAATAGTATCTCAATTATTACAATTCCCTAGTTAAATAGAGCTTTTTTTCTTTTGTGTTTTAAAATCTCCTCTTTTTCCCTAAATTTCTAGTTGTTTGCACCTACCTTTTTTGGTGAAGAAAAAGAAAAGAAATCTGCCTGCCTAATTTTCCAACGTGCAAAGCCAACAGCCTGCTTTACTTTCTCTTTCGTTTTTCAGTATAGCTAGGGGGAAAAAAATCTGCACTCTTTCCAAGCAAGCAAAAGAGCACTGAGCAAAACAGCTGAGAGCAAATCAGCTGGGGGTCGGGAGCCGATCTAAGCAAGGGCTAATTAGCCTATGCTGAAGCTCCGTGGGCCAATAAAATTACAAAAAAAACACCGAACCCTTTGTTAAATTGCTGGCTCCCCCGCCCCTCGCCCACCACTATTTATTGGCAATAAATAGTGGTGCGGAGGGGCGGGGCAAGCCAGCAATTTAACAAAGGGTTCGGCTGCAGCACTGGCTCTAGGGCGGCCCTTTGAAGCCCCGCGGCAAGAATTTGAAGTTTTTTTTTCCTCTAGCCATCGGAGGCAGCAATAGATGGGGAGTGGGCGGGGTAAGCGAACGGCAGAGAGTGAGGGTGAGTGAAGGCGTGGAAGCTGCTTTCTCCATCCTGCTCTCTTGCGTCCGGAGCCCACGTGGATCCCAGGCAGCGGAACTCAGGCTAGGGAAGGGGTGGGCAATTGTGGCTCTTTTACAACCTGTGGCCTTCAACTCCCAGAATTCCTGAGACAGCCAAGCTGCACCAGGAATTCTGGAAGTTGAAGTCCACAGGTTGTAAAAGAGCCACAATTGCCCACCCCTGGCTACGGTAGGCTGGCGCTGCGCGGGTGGGAGGCGAGGGGCAGGCGAGCCAGCGATTTAACAAAGGGTTCGGCCGAACCCCCTAAAACCCCCAGAATCCCACCACTGTGTAGGCCCCTCTTGATCTTGAGGCCCTAGGCTGAAGCCTAGTTAGCCTATAGGAAAATCCGGCCCTGATGGCTGCTTAAGGAAAGATGCATGTCACGAAGCAAAAAAGCTGAAATGCTTTTAAAATTGTTTGCTTGAGCTAATAATAACACTTAAAATCCCTTTATTTATTGAAATGTTCATTGTCTCTGCATCCAAAAGAATCAATTGCTTGGTGACCCCGGTCACTGTTCTAACACTTGGCAAAACATAAAGGTAGTCCTCAACTTACAACTCTTCATTTTGTGATTGTTCAAAGTTACAATGCCACTGGAAAAAAAAGTGACTTGTGACCTTTTTCACACTTACAACCATTGCAGTATCCCCATAGTTACATGATCAAAATTTGAATGCTTGGCAGCTGGTTCATATTTATGATGACTGCAGTGTCATGTGATCACCTTTTGTGACCCTTCTGACAAGCATATTGGGAAGCCAGATTTACTTAACCATGGTACTAACTTAACAATTGCAGTGATTCACTTAACAACTTAACAAGCAAGAAAGTTTGTAAAATGGGACAAAACTCACTTAACAACTATCTCAGTTAGCAGTTTTGGGCTCAACTGTGGAAATAAATTAAAGACTACCTGTAGTTCACTGAATTAGTCTTTTATACATTTCTGCTAGTTAGGAGATCATTGTTATGGGATATATAAAAGACTCTGGGAATGTAGAGATAACATGAGGGCCCCCACTGCACCGAGAGGAACACTCCAAAGAGATAGGGATGGAATGGTGGCCGTCATGTGATTTCTACATTCCCAGTCTTTTATACATCCCATAACAACTGGAGTGGATCTGTTGGATTATTTTACAAAAAAATGTTCATTTGTCAGGACTCAGATCAACATTTTCCAAAGAATCCCCTACATATACTCTTTTCTTTTTTTCCTATAGACGAAGGACCAACTTTCATGCAGCTATTTGTATGTGTCTCTCCCTCTCCAGCAATAGGTACTGCACTCCATATTTATATTTGTTTGTTAGTGTCACTCACTTGGAAATGAATAGGTAGACAGGAAAAACTAATGCTGTGTTTGTGTGGAAATATATCTTGTCAACAGGATAACTGATCTGACATTGCCATTTCCAGAATTTACATATAATAACTTTCTGCATTCCTCATGCAGGAGTACACATGCCCACATTGCCAGCTCTGTATACGATTTCCCTTCTTCTCCCTGAACTACCTCATGATCAATTTTTGATCACCAGTAGAAGGGCTCAATATTCTCCTCAATATTCCCCATGATGCATACATCGTGCATACTTTACTGTGGGAAGTAGGGGCACATTACTGTTTCTCTGGATTCATCTATTTCAGATTGTTCCATTGATCTAGAGAAGATGCTTGCTCCTTCTTTGGGGAGGAGGGTATATTCTATGGCAAAAGAAAAAGTGAAGGAGAAAGCTGCATGATGGAATGTGTAACAGATTCTATTCATAGTGCAGAATATGAATGTGAAACCAAGACCAATATCGAAAGCAGGACTTTTATAGAAAAGATCTATGAATCTATAGAGAGAGAAAAATATGAGACTAAAAGAAACCCCACTTAATTCTGCTAGTATAAATTGGCTCCGCAGGAACGCAGTGGCTCAGTGACTAAGACACTGAGCTTGTCAATCGGAAGGTCGACAGTTCAGCAGTTCGAATCCCTAGTGCCACGTAACAGGGTGAGTTCCCATTACTTGTCCCAGCTTCTGCCAATCAAGCAGTTTGAAAGCATGTAAAAAATGCAACTAGAAAAATAGGGACCACCTTTGGTGGGAAGGTAACAGCGTTCCGTGTGCCTTTGCTGTTTAGTCATGCTGGCCACATGACCATGGAGACGTCTTTGGACAGCGCTGGCTCTTTGGCTTTGAAATGGAGATGAGCACCGCCCCCTATGCAAATATGTGCGAGGGGAACCTTTACCTTTACCTTATAAATTGGCTCTGGCATTTTTCAAGATTCAGTTAGATTACACTACTAGCAACAAATAACTGAAGAAACCCAATTTGTTATTGTTCCCTGAGTTGCCAGACTTGCAGAACTTGATAGCTTTGGATTTCTCAGATTTAAGGCCTCTCCGGTCCCATCATCTGTTTATGGCACTGACATTTAGGCACTGACATTCAAGATTACTTCCTCAGTTCAAAAACAACTGGTCAAAATCACTGATAGGAAGACACAATTGATCTCTCACATCCAAGATTGGTGATGTATTCTTTCTTCCTGACAGAAGACAACACCCCATTTTTATACAGGGAGTAATCATTCAGCAACTGCAGTTGGGACTGGAAACTCAGTTGTTAAGCAAAGTAGTCACTAAGTAAAAAATCATGTGACCATGACTAAGCTTATAATTTTATCTCAGCTTTCCTTTTATTTACTTTTATTGTTGGTCAAATTTATATGGCCGACCATTTCTCCTGAAGTGATTCTGAGTGGTGTTCAATAAATTTTGGGCCACCTGGCTATTTGTGGTTATATCTTTACAGCATGCATCAGAAAGCTGCAACCACAAACAGCTGGGTGAGCCCAAGTGACAGGGAAGGATTCCAGAATTCAATTCACAAGGAAGCTGGGTAAAAAGGTAAATCTTACAGCTCTTTCCCCCCATTCCCTGTTCTTTAGTGTTGGCATAATTAGCAAGAAAAGAATTGATGTTTGTATTTATATTCCTTCCAGAAAAAGCGATTATAAGAAGTACGCAATAGGGACCGCCTGCTACCACCAATAGCCTGCTATTTACGGGACCGCCTGCTACCACCAATAGCCTCCCACCGACCAGTACGCTCCCATAGAGAGGGGCTCCTCCGGGTGCCGTCGGCCAAACAATGTCGACTGGCGGCCCCCAGGGGGAGAGCCTTCTCTGTGGGGGCACCTACTATCTGGAACGAGCTCCCCCCCGAGATACGGAGGATTCCGGATCTGCGTACCTTCCGTCGCACGTTTAAGACGTTCCTATTCCAGCAAGCCGGCCTGACCTAAACTTCTCCTCTTTTAAATGGGAATTTTAAATTTGGTTTTAAATTATTGGGGTTTTAAATATGGTTCAGCCAAATTTATTTAATTTGTTTTATTTCTATTTTAAATTTTGTATTTATATGTTTTATTTCATGGCTGTTCACCGCCCTGAGTCCTTCGGGAGTAGGGTGGTATACAAATTTAATAAAATGAAAAAAATAAAATGAAAATAGGGAATACACATAGAAAGGAATGTGTTAGAGTCATTTGTCTAATGCATTCATGGTTATGAGCAATATGTTGCTTAGAATTCAAAGAAGCCTTAAAATTAATTAGGTATCGTCAGTGTCAGGCAGCAGCAAGAGCTAGCCAAAGAGTTCTAATCAACTAATTAAGAGCTGAATTTATGGTTAGCATTTTTTAGGGATGTGTTGCATTGAGAACAAAAACAGCTGAGGAAGAAATAGCTTTTTAGGCAATCTCTGCTCAGGTAGCGAGGGGAGTGGAATAAAATGACAATACATACAAAAGACAATACATACAACTAATGATAATGGCAAATGCCTGATGAGAGAGGAAAAAACAAACAATAAGAGGGTCATAAATACGGGCACTGGTTGCAAAGTTACTTTTTCATCACCATTGTAATGACAGCTATCTGAGGCAGACACTAAATTGGGACTATCTATAATGATATCCACCTGTATTAGTATACAAAAAAAAATCTATTGTCAAGTTATCATTAAATGTTCTGCTTTTCAACTGATACTGAGAAAACAGATAAGAGTAGTTCTACTTTTGTTTCAAGCCAATGCATTTCCTTCAGAGGTTTTCCATGAAAAATTAGTATCATTTTCTACTGTATCATTGGAATAAAAAAACCTAAATGTTATACAATTATCCTAACTCCTGAGTAGCTTTGGTAATGAAGTGATTAAAAACAACACTTGATTAGTATATATTTTTTGGGAAAATCACTTTTTACCTCTTTTTGTTTCTTAATGATGACTGAAAATTCAGTGTATGGGATTCTTGGATTCAATTCACATCCCATTAAAGTTGCTCCTTCGTAGTCCTTGATAAAGCCTACATATTTTGCTTTTGGTACTTTAATATCTTTTGAAAAGCCCTAAGGGAAAAAACAACCAACGTATTTTTACTACCTTACTGAAGACATTGTGATATTTTACAGTAGTGATATTTTTCTTCATGTACTTGGAGACTGCAATTCAGCAACCTGACAGATCAGTTACTACCACCCTTAATTTAAATTTATGAAAATATCATATTATACATGGGAGAAATAGGATATACAATTTATCTTTTCAAGGTCACCATGTAATTCATCAGTGGTTACTATCCAGAGATAATTACAGCTCCTCTAGCAACTGTCAGAAGCTCTCAAAAACAGCAAGTGGGAGAAAAATATATTACACAGAGGAGTCACATAACAGCAATAGAAAATACAACCCGGGAATGAACTATTATTACAAAGAAATAGTGAGAATTATAGATTTCTAAAAAAACAGAAACAAAATTACTTTAGCTCTTTTAGTGCCCAATTAATCATTTGTAACCAAAAAAAAAATTATTTGCATGTTAAAGATTAATTATTTGCATGTTAAAGATTAGTATTTAATACGATAATGAAAATTTATACTGTAATACAATTCATTAGCTTAAATTGTCAAAACATTTTATTTTAGGTCAATTGTATATTAACAATACACTTTAAATTCAATGAATAGTAATATTTTCCTTCAGATAATAAGATAACTCTGAAAGTCTTCTGTGTGCTTCCAATAGTTATTCCAATTTTATTTTGCTACACAGGTTGAAAATTACTCCCAAAGTTCTACTTACTTGTTTCTTGAAATAGCCAATTGCATATTCATCAGCATACGTAAGGAAATTGAGAATATTATGCTTAATGTGATATTCTTTCAGATGATTCATTAAGTGTGTTCCATAACCCTGCAAAGAAATTACGATAATAGTTTATCTGTTAAGGATCACAATGTATTAAAACTTGGCTGCCTGCAGTTTGCAACAATAAAGCAACTTAAATACAGAAATACTGTGGATCCCTAAGAAGTGTATGTGAGAGCAGAATTTTTCATCTCCTGGCAGAAATAATGGTTATCAAATGTTCTTTTCCAATTGCATGAGCCATATTAAATCCTGCTTCCAAAAATTATTTTCAAAATAATACTTCGCAGAGAAATCCAACCAGAGTAGGAAGTTATAACTAGCCTATCTTACCTGAGAGAATGAATAAGGGAATATTGCAGGCAATGCTGCATCTTTGTCTGAGCTTATTTTGTAACTTGTAGGAAAGATTTTATCGACTCTGTGTTTATTTTTTTGTTTTTGTTTTCTTGCTTTTTTTTCTACCTTTAATGAGGCACTTGATACCACCTGCTCTTAGGGTTGATGTTATAATTACCCCTCATGTTTTCTTTTTGCCGGCATTTTTTTATTTATATAAATATATATATATATATTTAGTAAGGCGTAACAGAATACAGCATTAGTGCATTATTATTTTTATTATTATTATTTATTGAATTTGTATACCGCCCTACTCAGGACTCAGGGTGGTGAACAGCCAAAAGATAAAATACATATAATACAAATGTTAAAAAACCATTAAAATACAATTAAATAATTTGGCCCAGAAAACAAAATTTAAAACACCCCAAATTTATAAGAAAATATAAAATTTAAAAAATTTAAAACAGTTTAAAAGAGAGGTTAGGCCAGGCCGGCCTACTGGAATAAGAATGTTTTTTTTTTTTTAATTTTTATTAATAATAAAAAGAAAAAACAAAACCAACATAAATACATAAAATAACATACAAAACTAACAAACATCGATTCAGTCCAATGACTGACTCTTAGAAGTTACTATAACGGTGGAGTATTTTCCATTTTTGTATTTATATTAATGTCTATAATCATCTATTTACACGGTTATATATATATATATATATAATTGATTCCTTATTTACTTCTATACATTTCTATTGATTAGTCATAAACTATCTTTGTATTCCTATTTTTGCCTCCAGCCAGCCGTACCATTTTTGCCATACTAAATAATAATCAGTATCATCCTTCTCTTGTATTTCTTTTGTAAGCTTATCTAATTCTGCACATTCTGTAATTTTAGTTATTATTTTGTCTTCTGTAGGTAACTGTTCAGATTTCCAATGCTGGGCAAAGAGTATACGTGCTGCTGTGAGGATATGAATGATTAGATATTTTATTTCTTTGGTATAATTTGCTGTGATGATTCCCAATAAAAAGGTTTCCGGTCTCATTTCAAGTTTTTGTTTCGTAATTTCTTCAATCATTGTTTTAATTTGTTGCCAGTATTGTTTTGCCCTTCGGCATAGCCACCAGAGATGGTAGTATGTCCCTTTCTGTGATTTACATTTCCAACACATCAAAGATGTATTTGGGAACATCTTGGCTAGACGCGCCGGTGGGAGGTGCCATCGGTAGAACATTTTGTAAAGGTTTTCTTTGTAGGGTATGGACAGTGTCATCTTATAGTTTATCTTCCACAAATTCTCCCACTTATCCAATTCAATAGTATATCCTATGTTTTGGGCCCATGTTATCATGCTTTCTTTGACAACCTCCTCTTCCAATTTGTATTGTAGTAGGTACTTATAAATTTTGGTAATCATTTTCTCATCTGGACTTTGTAATATTTTATCCAATTCATTTGGTTCATTTTGGAATCCAAATTGTGCCCGATCCGTTTTGTATCTTGATTCTATTTGCATGTATGGCCACCAATCAATGTCTATACCCTGATTTTGTAATTCTTGTCTTGTTTGTAATTCTCCTTCACTGTTCAGTAGTTCTTTATAAGTCCTCATTTTCGCTATATCCATGGCATTGGGGTATATTTGTGCTTCCATTGTCGATAGCCATCGTGGGATCTTGGTGTAGTGTTTCCTAACCTCTTGCCATGATTTGTACAATGCTTCCCTAATGATATGTTGCTGAAAATACCCATGGTGCTTATCCTTTCCCTCCCAGAGAAAGGCATGCCATCCGTGTTGTAGATCAAAGCCTTCTAGTGATAACATTCTTTTATTCTTAAGATCTATCCAGTCCCTTATCCAGTTTAGCGACGCTGCTTTATAATATAGCTCCCAATCCGGTAGGCCCAGGCCTCCTTTTTCTCGGGTATCTTGCATACATTTTATTTTAATTCTGGCCCTTTTCCCATTCCAAATAAATTTTGTTGTTATTTTAGTGAGGTCCTTAAAGAAATTCTTTCCTGGCCAGATTGGGGCTACTTGGAAAAGGTAGAGTAATCTAGGGAGTATGTTCATTTTTATGGATGCAATTTTCCCTAGGAATGACAGTTGTAATTTATTCCACGTTTCCAGGTCTTTTCTAATTTGTTTCATTAATTTATTGTAATTGTCTTCTCTGATTGTTATTGCTTTGGCAGTAAGCCAGATTCCTATATTTAGGAGACTTTAAAGAGAATACTTTATTCTCTTTAATAAAGACTTTAAAGAGAATACTTTATTCTCTTTACAATTTGTATTCCTAATTTGTCTTCTAGTTGTATCTCTTGTACCTTTGTCAAGTTCTTTGTTAATACTTTAGTTTTTTGTTTGTTAATTTTAAGCCCTGCAACTCTTCCATATTCCTCTATCCTCGCTAAAAGTTTGGCTCCTGTTGTTTCCGGTTGCTCCATTATAAACACCACGTCATCAGCAAAGGCTTGCAATTTGTACTCCTCTTTCCGTATTCTCAAACCTTTTATTTCGGGGTCTTTCCTGACTTCATTTAATAATATTTCCAAAGAGATTATGAACAATAGTGGGGATAAGGGGCAGCCTTGTCTCACTCCTTTTTGTATATCTAGGTTTTCAGTCATATCTCCGTTGATCATAATTTTGGCCGTTTGGTGGGAATATATTTTTCTAATCATTTGTAAAAATTTAGCGCCAAAGTCCATAATTTCTAATTGCGATATGAGGAAGTTCCAGTTTAAATTATCAAAGGCCTTTTGTGCGTCTAGGAAAAGTAGGGCTGCTTGTTTATCGTTTCTTTTCTCGTAATGTTCCAGGACGTTAATAATTGTTCTTATGTTGTTTTTGATCTGTCTTCTTGGGACAAAACCGTTCTGATCCATATGTATGTATTTATGAATAATTGCTTTCAGTCTTTGCGTTATGACCAACATGAAGAGTTTATAATCTACATTAAGCAGTGAAATCGGCCTATAATTTTTAATTTGTGTGGGGTCTGTGTCTTCTTTAGGGATAAGTGTAATGATGGTTTCAGTCCAGGATTTGGGAATTTCTGCCTCTAATAGTGCATCGTTGAGAACCAGGAGTAACAGTTCATCCATTGCATTTTGACAGTTCTTATAAAACTCCGTTGGTATCCCATCCGGGCCTGGGACTTTGTTGTTTTTTTGCTTTTTCCTTGCTTCCACCAGCTCAGACATCGTAATTGGTCTATTTAATGCTTCTCTATGGGACTTCTCTAATTTTACGATGTTTGTTTTACATAAGTATTCCTTAATGTCTTCCTCCCGAATCTCTTCTCCCTTGTAGAGACTTTGAAAGAAATCTTTAACTATACGTTTTTTGTCTAGATTGGTATGATATATTTGTCCTGTTTCGTCTTGCAATTGAAATATTGTTCTCCTTTCTTTTTCTTTTTTCAATTTATACGCTAACCAGCGCCCCGTTTTGTTCGCATGCTCAAAGTGTTTCTGCTTTGCTAATTTAATTTTCTGTACGATTTCTGTCTGGGTAGTCAGATTGATTCTATGTTTAGTAAGGTTTAATTTTGCTTTTATTGTTTTGTTTTGGGGGTCCTTCTGCAATTCTAATTCATATGTTCTGAGTTCTTCTAACAACTTATTCCTTGACTGATGTTTCTCTTTGGTTTTTTTTGCCATATACGCGATTGTAAGGCCTCTTATATATGCTTTAATTGTGTCCCAAAGATTTTGAAGTGATGTCTGTTCTTTAGTGTTTATTTGTAGGAACATTTTAACCTCTTTCTCGATCATCTGTATATATTCCTTATCCTTTATTATTCCCGTGTCCATCATCCACCTCCTTTGCTTTCGATGTCCCTTCCATATTATTCTAATGGGGTTATGATCTGCCCAGGTGTTTGCTGCTATTTCGATATCTTTTACCTCCTCTCTGAGGTCTGAAGTCATCCAGGCCATGTCGATCCTAGACCATGACTGATGTGGGTTTGAATAATATGTGTATTGTTTCGTTTGCATGTTTGCCTCTCTCCATACATCATGCAGGTGTAGTTCATTGATCATATCCTTGAAGGATTCCGGTAGAGTTTTCTTTCTGGTTTTACTTTGTTTGGTACTTCGGTAATCTTTTTCTATGTCCGTGATTGCGTTGAAGTCTCCTACCATACAGATAGCTTCGTACTCCAGGTCTTTAATTATATTGTGTAGCTTTTTGAAAAAATCATTTTGATTTACGTTGGGTGCATATATAGATATTAATACTATTGTTTTGGATTCTGTTTGTATTTCTATTATTAAGAAACGTCCTTCTGTGTCTGCATATATTTGTTTTGTTTTTAGGTATTTCTTCACATATATTACGACTCCTCTCTTTTTTTGGTCTCCAAGCGCTGCATATAGTCTTCCTAATCTTTGATTATCCAATAGTTTTTGATGCTGTCTTTTAATATGTACCTCTTGGAGTGTTATAATATCCATTTCTAATTTTTGAAGTTTTGTGAATGTGTGTTTTCTTTTTGCTGGTGAATTAAGTCCGTTTATGTTGATTGAGATGAGTTTTAGCTCTTTTTCCATCTCTCTTTATTTATTTATCCGTTGATTGCAATCTTTTGTTGTTTCTAAGTATCATTTGCGTCTTTTCCCTCGCTCCCTCTCTCTCCATTCTTTCTCTTTCCAATCTTCTCCCCTCTTCTTGGTCTCTTCCTTCTTTCTCTGTCCGCCATTCCTCTTGCCTCTTAGGACCCTCTTCTTTTCTGCTCTCTTGCTCCTCCTCCAGCGCGAAGTGTTGATCAAAGAAGTCCTGTGCTTTTCCTACGTTATCAATTCTGTATTTTTTGTCTTCCCAGGAAATTAGTAAACCCTCCGGTATTAGCCAGCGGAACTTTATTTTAAATTTATTTAATTGTGCCGTTAAGAAGTTGTAGTTCCTTCTTTGGTCCCTCGTCCTTTTTGGTATCTGTTTGAGGGTTAAAATCTCTCTTCCCTTATACATAGCTGTATCCTCTCTCATCTTCCTATAGATCTCTTCTTTTAAGGATTTTTTTTGTAAATCTGATATGTATTTCCTTTGGCAGTTTATTTCTCCGGGCGTAGTTCGTGTGGACTCTATAGATTTCGTCTATTCCACTTCGAATCTCTTCCTTGTTCCTCTGGGTCACTTCAGAGAGTATCTCAGTCATGATTTCCCCTAAGTCCTCCTCCTTTTGCTCTTCTACATTCTGGAACCTTAAGTAGAAGGATGCCTTCTCCATCTCAAGATATGATACTGTGTCCTCTAGATCCTTATTTGTAGCTGCTTGGTCATATTCCATCCTCTCCATTTTCTTATTTGTATATTCTATTCTCTCCTCCACCTTACAAATCCTCTGTTCATTTTCCTCCATTTTATGTTGTATCTTTCCTATCTTCTCGTCCATGTTCCTAATATTATCCTTTATCTCTCCCACATCGATCCTTAGTTCCTCATGATTTTTCCTTGTCTCCTCATGGTTATGGGCCATAGTCTCTTGCATTTTATTCATTCCTTCCTGGATCGTCGTTAATATGGAATGAATGTTTGGCATACTAAGGGTGGGAACTGCTTTATCCTTTTCCGTGGTTTCAGCTATTTTTTGTTGTATTGGGGAGGCCGTAAGTATCATCTGGCTTGATGGTATTTTCTTACTTAACTTAGAGATTGTTGTTGAGCTTGTAGTTGCCATTTGTATTTCTTTTAATATCTTCTCCCAGAATCTCATATACTGATTTCTATTTAGGTTGTTCTATTTCTTTTGGGATTTTTGTATGGTTAGTGGCTTTCAATAGTCCCGGTAATCCCAGAAAATAAGCAACTAGGATAGGTTCCCCTGTCACACTATCACTATCTGTACGTAAATTTATCTATAAGTTCTATTTTCCCTTTTTCGATATTTTACAGAGATCTTCAATTCATAATAACTGTCTAGTCTGTATTACTCTCTAAGCATAGGGGTAGAATATAAGGGGGGGGAAGCGAGGGAAAAGTCTAATACTTCAGCAATTCATCAGTTAACTATCCTTATATTTGGTTATTTACAATCTTATTTAAATTAATTGTTAAGTACTATTAATTAGTATTTATCAAATCAATTACCTTAATTTCAATCCTAAAATCAATTAATCTGTCTGATATAGTTTTCAAAGCTAGACATGTAGCGAGATATAATATTTAACTACCAAGATAAAATATAGCACTAAGATAAATATAGTTATATATTAAGAGTAAATATAAAATTAAATTAACAGTTATATATATAGTATATATTATATAATATATAAGATTATATAGATTTCACAAACAATACATTTAATATTAATGCCTTCTATAGTTCTTAATCACTAATTTGTTATCAGCTTTTAATACAATTAATTATACTTTACAGTTGATTCTTCTTCTTCTTTTTTTCTGGATCACTCTCTTCTCTCTCTCTTCTTCCCAAATTTGTATCTTTCTTATTTCTTATTTATTGTTCAAAGTCCAAAGTTCAAAGTCCAGTATCCAATGTCCAAATATTTTTAGATTGAGTGTCCAATGTCCACCAAAGCTTCAAAAACCCCCAAGTGTCCACCTTTCAGCAGAGAGAGAAAAGGAGTAAAGGGTAGAATAATCCAAATCCCGAAACTTAGGTCCAAACCTCTAAATCTCCAAGGTCCAAAGGTCCAAGAGTCCCAAGAAAAATATTCTGCTTAAACTAATTTAGTTTATCTCCAAAAGACACTGATCTCCACTTTAAACGAAGTTTTCCTGGCGCTCTCTCTTCCGATATCAAATGTTTGTAAAATGTCTCATTATCGCTTCCACAAAGTCTGTCAAATTAACCCCCTTTCTCTCCTTAAATTCCGTCTCTCCTCTGTGGCTGTGTATTCGAAATCCAAAGCTTATCTGGGCTCGCTTTCTCCTCCTAAATTTCCTCCGCTTTCGCCGGCTGCTAAATTGTGCGCTGTCACTGTCAAAATGGAAGCCGTCTCCGCTTATTTCTCAGTCGCCGCTATCTAGCTTCTTAGTTGGAGTTTTAACTTCTTCCGCCTTCGAATTTCCCGTTATGGGTTGTAAATATACCTTTTGAACTTTTTTCTTTCCCGATCTTTCCACCGAAGTCTTCTTTATTTGATTTTCGCTTCCCTCTTAGTCAGCTGTCAACGTTTCTGGCCAGCCGGGTGGCTGGTTTTTCCCCGATCAGGATTAAGGGGGGTTTCCTGAACCTTCGGGGGGATTGCTGTCCTCCCCGAGGTCCTCGGAATTTCCCCTTTTTTCTATTGACCTATCCAAGGTCAATAGTGCCTAAATCGGCTCCTAGATCGGCGATATTAGGGACTTGGAGAACGGAGAGCCGTTCCTTTCGCCCCTAACACGATGACGTCACCGCCGGAAGTCCGGAATAAGAATGTTTTGAGAGCAAGGCAGAAAGTGCGCAGATCCGGGATCCTCCGTATCTCCGGGGGGAGCTTGTTCCAGATGGCGGGTGCCCCCACAGAGAAGGCTCTCCCCCTGTTTGACCGACGGCACCCTAAAAAGCCCCTCTCTATGGGAGTGTACTGGTCGGTGAGAGGCTACTGGTGGCAGAAGGCGGTCTCGTAGATACCCCGGTCCTAAGCCATGGAGCACTCTAAAGGTAGTAACCAAAACCTTGAAGCGCACCCGGAAGACCACCGGGAGCCAGTGCTGCTCGCGCAGGAGGGGGGTCACATGGGAGCGCCATGTCGCTCCCATAACCACCCGCGCAGCCGCATTCTGGACCAGCTGGAGCCTCCGGGTGCTCCTCAAGGGGAGCCCCATGTAGAGAGCATTGCAGTAGTCCAGGCGGGAAGTGACGTGGGCATGAGTGACCGTATTTAACGAGTCCCAATCCAGAAAGGGACACAACTGGCGAATCAGGCGAACCTGATAAAATGCCCTCCTGGCCACAGCCGTCAAATGCTCTTCTAAAGACAGCTGTGAGTCCAGGAGGACACCCAAGTTGCGAGCCCTCTCCGTGGGGGCCAACAACTCACCCCCAATAGTCAGTGAGGGCACCAACTGACTATATCGGGATGTCGGAAACCACAGCCACTCGGTCTTGGATGGGTTGAACCTGAGTCTGTTTTTTCCCCATCCAGATCCATACAGCCTCCAGGCACCGGGACATCACTTCAAGGGCATCATTGGGGTGGTGCATAATTTTTTTTAAAAGGCATATAAAATGTACATCAAAATATAAAACGCCAACACAGTGAATTATTTTAAAAATGCCCAATATGAATGATGAATAAAATTATTAATAAAATAAAATTATGTATGAGCAATTACTAGAGTACTTAAGGCTATGGCCGATTATCTAGATCATTTAGCCATTGGACAGCAGTGCCCTCGAGATAGTACAGGGACCAGGGAACCTTCTGAAGGGGTATTCTTTCACAACGTGATGTAAAGTTTGCGGGACATTCCCACAATCAGACTGCATTATTACTTTTGCATGTCCATGTGCATGTAAGTTTCATTATTAATTCACCTGCTTTAGACCAAAGCTTCTTTGTTTTGTTTGTTTTGTTTTGTTTTGTTTGTTGTTTTTGGACATTTTGCTTTCTATTTACTTAGACTGCTAAGACATTAGACTTAGCATACCGTTGAGGTTAAATTTCCTTGATCATTCTGTTCGGTTAGGTTACTAATTAAGCAACCAGCATACGATAAAATCAGACATACCATTTCAGGATATAATAGTTTCCTGCAATGAGCAAGAGTAGATCATCATTATAGTTCATTCAAGATCTGTTATCTAATGATTAGTTATTCTGACCTTTGAATGCACAAAACTTTTTGAATGATTAGTAAACATCACATATCTTCCTAATAGAACTAATTGTTTAATAAAATTTAGTAAAGAAGAATAATTCCATTATTATAGGCAGAGTCTAAAAGTTGGGAAACAGAGATTTCTCAATATTATAATTAACATTATTATAGTAATACTCACACCCCTTACACTACGTTGTGACTTTTGGTATACTTCAACCACACTCAGCAAAGATAAAAAATATTCCAATTGTGCACATAATTTCCTACCCATCCTCTTTTATCTTATATGTCTCATTATTTGCACTGGGACAAAACTGGAAATAAGATGGAAGACTTATATAAATACTACATTTATTACTGACACACAGAAGTAAATTTCCTTATATGTGGTGTAAGTAGAATTAAGTCACAAGAGAATGTTACTTTGCCATGTGTTTTATTCAGTCTTCTGGTTCTTTTTTAAAAAGTAAACTGCAATTTGGGCAGAAGAATAATTTTTGCCATTTGATTAAGTTCAGGACTATGGAGTCACATTAAATCCAATTAAACCTGCACATTGTACAATACACTTGTTTGATAATGCAATTAATATTACTTTTACCTTGACTTGTTCATTAGAAGTCACAGCACAGAAAACTATTTCTGTAAATCCTTGAGATGGGAACATCCGGAAACAGATACCACCAATCACACGGCCATCCTTTATTAATGCAAGGGTCTTGTGTTTCCTGTAGTAATACATTTTGAAATATAAACCATATATCCATTAATAATGCCCACCACTGGTGCATTTATAGTCATAGTGATTATAAATAGAATATTTTTGCATAGATTTTGATACTAGATTAGATTTTATTTTCAAAAGAAGGTGCCCAGAAAACTGATACTAAGTCAATGTAAAATATTCTGATTGCATTCTCTAGGTTCCCTTTCAAATCATTATCTACTGTCCCATCTTATTATACTGGAATAACAACTTATTTCTTCAAGATGGAAACAGCTCTATTGAATAATGCCAACTTCCATTCTGTGTCGTGTTTCCAGGGACAGTCAGACTAGCTCTTTTAGTTTTAATAGACAATTTTCCAGAGAGAAAGAAAATTGTCTATTAAAACTAAAAGAACTAGTCTGACTGGGAAGAATTGGATTTTCAGCCTGTAGTTTATCAACATCATTCAAGCCTTTCCCAGAATTGTAGGCATTCCTTCTCCTCTTGTTTCACAAAGACAGAGAGCCAATTCTGAACTTGGTCCAAGTCAGTCACACTCTGGTCCAGATCAGTCACACTTTTGTTCATGTTACTAGCAGGGTCCATATAAACTTCTAAAATACTCCTAGCAGGGCTTGAATTAGTATGTGATTGAGTGCAAAGGCTAGTAGTTTTTCTGAAAGTTTGCCAGAAAAATGAAGAATGCCTCTTCCTGATTGATTGTCTTAGTTTCTGGCAGGTCTCCTTTTCTGACGATCTTTTCAACACATTTTTTATACTGAATAAATTTCAAACTGCAAAAAACAATTATCTTGATAATGTTTCAAATCTTTTGAAACATGAAACAAACATGCCCAGACATATCATGGAGAAGGCACAATTCTTAGGTCACAAATAGGTAACTTTTTTTTTCGTGAAAGGGACTTGAAGCATGCTCATCCTTCTGCTAGATGTCATGGGGCAAACAGAGTTAATTGGAGGCAGGCAATCTTACAAATAGCCAAGTCTTTTGTTTTGAAGGGCTTTAAGGATGTTTACTAAGCAGATAAAAGCACAGGGCCTGGGTACTTTCGGGACCGCCTTTTGCCACCAATGGCCTCCCACTGGCCAGTTCGCTCCCACAGAGAAGGACCCCTCAGGGTGCCGTCAGCCAGGCAATGTCGGCTGGCGACCCCCAGGGGGAGGGCCTTCTCTGTGGCAGCACCTGCCCTCTGGAACGACCTGCTCCCGGAGATACGTAAGATATCAGATCTCCATGCTTTTCGCCGTGCCCTCAAAACTTTTCTATTTCACCAAGCTGGGCTGGCAAAACCCCGCCCTTAGATAATTTAATTGTAACGGATTTTAGTTGGGATGTTTTAAATTTGGTCCAAAATTTGTTTAATTCTTTTAATAATTTTAAATTTTGTATTGGATGTTTTTTATTCTTGGCTGTTCACCGCCCTGAGTCCAGCAGGAGAAGGGCGGTATAAAAATGTAATAAAATAAAATAAATAAAATAAATAAAAAGGAGTTTTTAAGAGGCAGTACTAGAGACATCTTATTGACTGATAATTTTGAAGAGCCAAATATTAATATTAATATAATACAAGTTGATGTGATAGAAGGCAATTGTACCTGCAATTCCTGCACCAACTTTCCAGAGAACATTTTGGAAAGGAGCAAGAATTGCCCAAATTGTCTTTCCTGTTCCAATGATAAATCATCTCTGTGAAAGAGTAAGTATTTCCTATTTCTCATTATTTGGAACAAACTTTACAATTAATCACTAAATCCAAATCCCAATCTTTAGCTCTATCTTTTAGCCTGTCAAAGTTTGAGAATTCTATCCAAAAAATTACAACCACTACACTTTGCCAAATGGACACCTAGCTATCTAGATACCTAACTTGTCATCTTCCTTGTTGTTACTGTTGTTGTTCCAAGTCCCAAATCAGATTTAAAAGCTTGTTTTCACCTATTAAAAATGACAAATCCATTCAATAAATATTATCCCCTTTCTTATCCTATCTTTTCCTTTGAGAAAAAAAATAGAGATGATACTCACGGATCAAAGACTAGACGAGTAATATACTCTTTTGGCATTCTGGGTAGCTGATGTGAGAATACATTTTGTAAACCAACCAGCCACATCATAATCTTTTTATTTGGTTTTTGATTTAAGGAATTTCCAATCACATGAAATTCAATCACTCCCCTACGCTCTTCCAATCTTGCAGCTTCATCCCGGGCTGAGTGTGCAGACAGAAAATTAGTCTGCTTTAAGAAAAAAAAAACAATGAAAAATGATTCAACATTTATTTTAGGAATCCTTTTTTTCCTTTTCATATGTAGTTAATACACATCTCGGTAAATAGAGTTGGAAATCTTTTCCATCTGGTTTGATGACACATTCTTCTGTTCCAGGTTGCATCTCTAACTGAGTAACTAACAATCTGAAAAATATCCAGCAATTCAGGCTAAATATTTAATAAATTATTAGGCTAAATGTTTACCATATAAAAAAAAAGTTTTAAAAATCCATTACAAGTTCTTGGTATACAAAAGAATATTTCTGTCAATCAGCTTATATCTAATACTTTAAAAAAATGAAAAACCTAACATAATTCCTACTTGAAAGGTAAAACAAAATATCATTCAACATTACTTGTGTCCTTTAATACAGGGGTCGCCAACCCCTGGGTCATGACCAACACCAGTCAACAGCTCACCAGAAACTGGACCGCCTAAGTGAGTGAAGCACCATTCATGCACGCACAGGATCCAGGCAGCACATGAAACCATACACCCCCCAGTCCATGGAAAAACTGCCCCCCATGGAAGTGGTCCCTGGCACCCAAAAGGTTGGAGGTTGCTGCTTTAATATATCTTCTCAATTACAAACATCTAAATTTAGATAATATTAAATAGCCAGCAGTCAGTTGTTTGTTTTGCATTTCAAAAAATACCCTTGAATTATTTAGTATCAACCATAGCGATAGTCTTCAAGTTGCAATCAGTCTTTTTATGACTGTGAAGTTATGATGGCCTTGAAAGAAGTGCTTTATGGCCTGTAAAGCATTTCTGATCACCATAAAATGTTGCTCCCAATGGTCTGGCATATTTTGGGCACATGGCAACCAGCTCAATTTTATGGCTGGTTGCACCATCCTGAGGTCATGTGATGGCAATTTGTAAGATTTTTTTTTTGCCAGTTTCCAGCAAAAAACAACTTGTTTGCTTAACAATTGCATGATTCATTTAATGACTGCTTCGAAAAATGTCAAAAGTAGGCCCAGTCACCTGGGTGTCTTGATTTATAACTGCCAATGACGTACAACTAGATTTCTGATCCCAATTATGATCATAAGTCAAGGACTATCTGTATAATGTTAATGATTACAACATGCAGAAAGAAATGTTCTAAAGATGGTGAGAACTATGCAAAGTATGCCTTCTTTAACAACTTGGCTGACTAGCTACATACAAAAGTTGCCCAATGCATAAATTCTGCCCCTTCATCCTTTCTTACAACTCTACTAGCTTTTGATGACCCCTGAGACACAAAGATCTAGTAATGGGTTCATAGGAGTGTAGAATGTAAACAGAAGCCAAGCAGTCACATTTTCTCTCAATTTCTTGACAATGCTTAGTGGAGATAGAAGAGAAAAGTGGGGGGAACAGAAGAAAAGGATCTAAAACAAATAAATGAGAATTTAATATTCACATATCCTCAAAGTAATCTAATGAAAATCTAATGATGAGCCATGTTATAGGATAAAGTTTAGAGACAGGCTTTGGATCCTTTTTTTGTTTTGTTTTTTTATATGATTTTTTTAATTTGATATGATATGATTTATTTTGATCTTCTTATATGCTGAGTTTTTAATTGTATGCTGCTCAGCATCATTTAGGAGTTGAGCAGACTATAAATTAAGTAAATCTAGCAAATTCATGAAACATTATAAATTTGCTTTAGATAAGATCTTGATTAATTTTTTTCATATGTCTGGATATACTGTATAGTATAATCCATATGAACAATTCCCCTTCTAAATATGAGCACATTTTGAAATGAAAATTGTAAAATTGAGTCACATCCAAAAAGACAAGATGGTTGAATGAAATTATGTGCTAGGTATGCCATTAAAAATATCATTTAAGTTAAAATTTATTTTTAAACTTGTCATTTTCTATTGTGTACATACAGTACAATACTTACATGTTGTATATGTATAAATACTAGCAGCTTAATGTGTTTGGATACATTTTACTACTTTTAATAATCCCAGAATTCTTAGCTATGGTCATATTAATTAGGAATTCTAGGAATTAAAGTCCAGGCAATATGAGACACCTACTTAGGCTAAATTCTATTAATGTATTAATAAAGAAAAACTGCCTTCAAATTAAAATCAGTTCAATAGTGTTGAAATAAAAAAAAAAGTCTTGGTATGACAATAAACCTATTGATACTGTAGTTAGAAAATGTAATGTGCTATCCTTATATTTGACATTCATTAATTCTGAAAAGTACATTTCTCACCTCTGGACCAAGCATTGCTGTTGGATCTGTAATAGTTGACATCACTTCGTTGATCAGTTCAAAAGGAATATCACCTATAACCCGTGGCTTCTTAGCATTCTCCGCAGAATAACCTTCATTATTTTTTCTTTTTTCTCCTAAATAATGAAGTTGAAACAAAATAATTATTTAACAATAAAATAAAATCCAAATGTTGTATCTTACCAGAACCAAAAAAATATTGAATTACTTTACTCATTGTTGAAAAATATTTGATTGTTGAGTTAAATAAGCAAACAAATTATATTCAACAATATAATAACAGAAATTCAATTGTATTTACCATCTCATCAATGTTCAACTCTCCATATTACCAATGGCTGGGAGCGGACTTCCCAAATCCCTAAGGATTGGAAGTTCCAATGGGGGCCGCAACAAAGAATGCCTAGAATCTTTTATATACCTCAAAGCTTTTTTAGGAAGCATTTATGCTCTTTGAGTTATTATAAAGAATGTGAAGGTTCAATTCTCGCAAGACAGTACTTGATTTAAGTCAATGCTATACCAATTATAGGTCTAAAATATACATGCTAGGGAAGCTGTTTTTAAATATAACCAAATCTGGAACCCAATCCACTGAAATTCTTCAGAGAATAAGAAAGGAATATCATAATTATCATTTGGTTTTGCATTCAGACAGTGGATTAAAAATTATTTCCCATTTATAAAATAGCAGTCATTCATTGACCCTCAGTATGGCTTGTAGCCACATTACTTAGCATTTTTATTTTACTTGCAAACTAAATTGATTTGGGATATGATAAAAGATCATTACACACATTGTGGTCTGCTTGCATTAATATTTATCTGGCTACTCCATAATTTTGGTAAACACAATTCACTAGTGTATTGATCTACAGTATTTTAAGATATTTTTGTATAGTATTGTTGCCCTAGCTTTAACTGATAGCTGGCCTGTTTCCATATATAAATATGTCATAGCTCTTCCTGAAGGCAATATGAGACGATCATCTGCACAATCATTAAAGCAATTATAATTGTTACATCAAAACTCATTTATCTTTAGAAATTGTGAAAAACACTTAATTCCTATAAACTCTTATTGATATCGCATTATGGAGAACAGCCATCCACAGCTCTATTCTTCTTCACTTTGTATGTATTTCATAGGAGTTGATTTTGAAAAAAGCTCTATAATATTTACAATTAGCAAAACAAACACAATCCTTTGGTATTTATATTACCTAGGTTTTGGTCCTGGCCAGAAGCAGATTTGGAAGCAGGACTCATAGTTCCTCCACTGGGTTGTTCCAAAGATGAGGGACTTGAACTATATGAAACAGATCTCACCATAGGCGGATGGTTAATGACTAACAGAGAAAGAAAGCCAGAGTTAAGCCATTTGAAATCAAGATCCAGGTGGATGTTGCATCAAAAAACCTCACACATATAAAAATATTTCCAGTATGAGGTAAGAATCTAAACAACCATCAATATGGGTTTAGCAGACCTTTTAAAATACAGGCAGTTCTCGACTTACAACCATTTGTTTAGTAACCATTCTAACTTAAACAGTACTGAGAAAAGTGACTTATGACTATTTTTCACACTTGGGCTTAATAATTTTAGAACTTTAGAATAAAGGTTAGCCAGCATTTTAGAGCCTGGAGTCTAACTGCACTCGATACTGCAAGACATATACGATAGGAACAGAAAAGAACTCAAAGAGAAAGATTAAAGAAAATTCCAAGCATTCTGAACATTCTAAGGTGGCAGCAACTTCTAGACAACCGAAACTGAAAAATTTATTCTAGCACAAGAGTATAGCACATAAGTCTCCCTTTTCCCTTCCCTTCCCCTCCCTCATAATCTTCATCAATAAATCTTATGCCCTACATGACTGGGAAGAGGGTGATTTCTCTTCTTCTGAAGATGAAGTTTCCACAGGAGAAAGAGGAGAGGACATCTTTAAAACCACAAAAAAACTGAAACATGGATGCAAATTAGGTTGCTAAGAACTGCCTACTAACTCCTAAAACAATTATTGCAATTTCTAACCAGCTATTAAATGTCAATCAGAAAGTAGACAAACTTAAAGCTATAATGGAAAATAATATAACTAAATCTGACATGAAGCCGGTCACCAATCCAGCTGCTCCAGAACTCTCTCAAAATACTCACATACGCACAAGTCCTCATATGTATGGAAATTGCCAAGGATAAGCTAGTTATTCAACGTCACAGGACTTTGCTGCAGGTGGTAATTAATCCTCTCAACAAAGTTAGGTGGGAAAATAAAAATAAAAATAGTACTTTACTCCCTTTCACAACTGCTTCCCCGTAGAGTATATTCCAGCCAAACTTACTGAAATCTCCTGGCTCCATATGGCAAGGTCTTGAAAGAATAAAGCTAGCTTTTAGTCATTTAACACTCTCTTCGATGATCTTTAAACAGATATTTCTTAAGGGGCTTTCAAATTACACCTACATGTGTACAGCCTCTGCTAAACTTGGGGAGGAGAGCCAATCACATAAGGGCGGGTAGCAAGTCCTAGAGCTGATGAAATCAGCCAGCCAATACCTATACAGCAGAATGTTCTACCAACTCCAAGGTCAGACTCAGATAAGACAAGAGGCATAATGCCCTTGATTTAATTAAAACAAAGATACTGACATCAGCCGACTCTATGGAGGATGAGGAAGAACTAGGACAGTTATTTGGCGACCTCACTAGGAAAAGCAACAAACCATCATATATAAACTTGAGCCAGTAAAATCAATGCTTCAGTCAGTGACTCTTACAACTGAGTCTTTCAATACTATACTACCCCCTAGCTGCTCTTCTGCTGAAAAGCTGACAAGCTCATTTTCCAGTATCCCCACAAAACAAAACAAAACAAAAAAAGAAGGAGCTTTAGCCCCAAATCACATTGTCAGCAGACAAACATCACAACAAAAGGAAATCAATTTAGTGAAGAACTTAATGGATAAAGCAAGCTACCTTGCCAAGTAGAGACCTCAAGGAAAATTCAAGTCATGAACCATTGGTTACATTTGAATACATCATGTTCTATTGTTCTCATATCTGCATCATCACCAGCAGTAGCGGGGATCACAGATCCAGAGACACCTGTACCAAACCTGAGTCTGTGTAATACTGACCCTCATGATAAAGAAAAACAACAATTACATCTAGGAAGAAGAAAGTTGAACCTCAAAATAACTGTGTATATACCAGAGGTATTGTTATCGATATTGATACTGATACTTCTTTGACATTTATAATAAAACGATTTCTTTAACAGCTGATCTTAATAACCAACACCATGAAGTAATTTGTGTTTCCACTGTCCCTCAGGATCTGCCTTTAGCAGTTGCCACTATTGGGAATTCAGAATGACAATTGTATGCTCCTAAATTCCTAACTATCTTTTCATGAAATGCCAAGACTTTGTGTTTACAAATTACATTGCTGAATTCTCTTATTCCTGCTTCAAGAAACTTGGCTTGACAATAATCTGTATGTAAATGAGTACAAATCCTTTTCACTTTCACAAGTTCCTGGAGCAGGATAAGGCAGATAGTGTGGTGGTTTAAGTACAGGTAGTCGTCTACTTACAACAGTTTATTTAGTGACTATTCAAAGTTACAATGGCACTGAAAAAAGCGACTTACGACTGTTTTTCACATTTATGATCATTGCAGCATCCTCATGGTCATATGATCAAAATTTGGATGCTTGACAACTGACTCCTATTTATGAGAGTTGCAGTGCCCTGGGGTCATGTATCACCTTTTGCAAACTTCTGACAAGCAAAGTCAATGGGTGAGCCAGATTCACTTAACAACCATGTTACTAACTTAAAAACTACAGTGATTGACTTTCAACTGTGGTAAGAAACATCGTAAAGTGGGGCAAAATTCACTTAACTAAATGTTGGGTTCAGCTGTGATCATAAGTAGAGGACTACCTGTACACTGTGTGCACAATTATTAGGCAAGTTGTATTTTGGAGAATTAATGTTATTATTTAACTACTACAGTGCCCTTTGTCAATCCAAAATGTTAATAAGCCTCAAACCTGAATATTTAAGAAAGTAAAAGTGAGATTTTGGCTTTCTTAGGAGAATATCTATGTGTTCACAATTATTGGGCAACTATTAGCGTGCAGAATTATTATGCAACTAAATGAAAAATCAAAATTTGCCAATCTCACTCATTTATTTGTGTCTGTTAAAGAGAGAATAATAAACGAACAACTCAAAATGTACAAATAAACATTTCTGACATTTCAAAAAAAAAACCAGTGACCAATATAGCCACCCTTGTTTTCAAAACAGTCGTAAGACTTCCATTCATGGAGTCCGTCAGTTTCTTGATCTGTTGACAATCAACTTTTTGTGCAGCAGAAACCACAGCCTCCCAGACACTGTTTAAAGAGGTGTACTGTTTTCCTTCATCATAAATCTCCCATTTAAGAAGAGCCCACAAGTTCTCAATACAGTTTAGGTCAGGTGAGGAAGGGGGCCATGTCATTATTCTTTCATCTTTAAGGTCTTTACGGACTAGCAATGCAGTGGAGTACTTTGAAGCATGCAATGGAGCATTATCCTGAATAAAAATCATGGTCTTCTTGAAAGATTTTTCCTTGAAGACTTTTTCTTTGAAGAAAGTATTTTCTAAAAACTGGCAGTAGGTTTGGGAGTTGATTTTGAGTCCATCTTCAACCCGAAAAGGTCCAACTAGCTCATCTTTCTTTAATAATACCAGCCCATACCAGTACCCCACCTCCATCTTGCCGGTGTCTAAGTGAAGTGAAGCTCTTTGCCCGTTACTGATCCAGCCACAGGCCCATCCATCTGATCCATTAAGAGTCTCTCTCATCTCATCAGTCCATAAAACCTTTGAAAAATCTGTCTTCAGATATTTCTTGGCCCAGTCTTCCCGTTTCAACTTATGTATCTTGTTCAGCCTTCCTTACCTTGGCCATGTCTCTGAGCATTGAACACCTTGTACTTCTGGGCACTTCAGGTAGGTTGCAATTCTGGAATATGACAGCATATGATATGATTCTTCTCAAACCTTTGGCAGTCTTTTTTTCTCAACAAGTTTCTTGTGACTCTGTTGACTATTTGCAACAAAATGTTTGATGGTTCTGTGATCATGTCCCAACATCTTAGCAATTTCAAGAATGAGTGCTGCATCCCTCTGAAAGACTTTGCACAATTTTTGACTTTTCAGAGTCAGTTGAATATAATTTTTGGCCCATTTTGCCTGAGGAAAAGAAGCTGCCTAATAATTATGCATACCTTGATATAGGGTATTTATCTCCTTAGGCCACACCCACCCTCATTACGCAAATACCCATCACCTGATATGCTTATATCCACAAAGAATTCAAGTTTATACAGCTTGGAGGTGGAAAATATGTATTAAAATGATAATATGGTTAAAATACTCACTTGCCTAATAATTGTGCACACAGTCTCAATTAAGCCTCAATTAAGCTACGCCTAAATGTTATACATCTAGATCCTATGAAGCATTATGCAATGTCCATGCCGTTAAAATTTAATAATGTTAAATTATTACTGTTTATCATTCATCATCTCTAAACAGAACCCAATTTAATAGTTTATAGTCCAAATTTGAAGCATAGATAAGTATTCTCATATCAAATAATAACTCATCTTATGTAATTGTTTTAGGTGACTTCAATGCAAGGATAGGATTGAGTGATAAGGCACTTTTCACCCAGTTCCATCAAAACCCTTCTGAACCAGCTATAATGCCCCCCTGAATTAACCCAACAATTCACAGATTTAAAGGAGGTTACAAGGCGTTCTGCCTTCTACAAACTAAAACCAAACTAATTCTACATTTATTGAATGGATCTATCAGTACCCGTGGTGAATTCTCTCATTGGGCTGGCTCAAGACCCTCCCTTATTGATTATACTCTGATCTTACAGAATTTAATTATGTCTGAAGAAAAATTTTACTTAGCTAACCAGTCTGAAAGCAATAATCTTAAAAATAAGATTAAAAAAATTACTAGGACCTCCCAAACCAGAAATTTCACTTTATTATTGCATTTGATAGCTTCTGTTTCAATCGAGAGATCTCTTCCACTCCTCACCTCTTACCTGCATCTGTGTGGGAAAACCACTTCAGAGCATTATATCTACAAGAAGAGCCCTCCAAATTTGATTCAGATTTCAAAGCTTCCCAAATGGGCCCCTGTCACAAATGCTGAAATAAAGAAGCTTGTAAAACAGTTAAAGCCTGGTAAAGCCCTAGGCAACGACTTTATTACACCTGAAATATTGTGAAACAGTATAGGCTGATGGACCCCTGTTCTTGCCTGCCTG